AATATCCTCTGTTGGGTCATACTAGTAAAACCGTTATCTTATTTGCCTTCTGCGTAGTTATTATCATCCATGTGTCCTCTACTGAACATCCTCCCTTGAGGGATTGTTCCGAAACCCGAATTCCCTCTCGTACAAAAATCTGTTAAACTGCTTCGCACTTGCCCTTGTTGATTACGTTAACGTCGACGACCCGGCTGACATTTGTGGACACTGCTTCTTTCAAATTATTCTTACTTTTTGGTCATGATTAATAGAATCTTTCACTATTAATTGCTTATCGCCTTGGTATCTTGATGCTTCCAGTGTGTGACAAAAATAGCGTATTCTAAACAGGGAGTCATCTCATTATTAATATCACTCACTCACAGATCCAATCTATCTATACAACCTTTGGGCAATAGTCTTTACTATACCAGTTGGTTCACTGTGCTGATTCACCTTTCCGTTTAGGGATTTTGCGTTGCCCGGATCCTACCGTCACATGCTGGTGAAGCCAGAGGACGTACATTACACCATTAAGGAGTACACTGACCCCCTGGCCCCGCTAATCGACAACGATTTAAAGTTGTTATCCAGTTCACCACCGTCTCCGAGTCAAGCCACCCCTCCTGGCAAGTTTTAAATTGATTAATCTGGAAAGGCTGTTGCATTTTTTGGAATCGGACCCTTAGTTTTGCTCTTATTTTCCTGAATACCTCATGTAAGTAAGTACTTTAAGTAATTACAAGTACAAGTAAGTAATATCTCATGCCAATTAGTGTCCGATATATACTGATGCGCGATTTGGGCGGTAACCTCATAGTAAATTGTTTTGTAAACAACGACACACGGATTTACTCATCTTCTTGGTACTGACCTGTCCAGACCAGCATAGCATTTTTCTCTGTTAAATTTTTTCGCGTTTTCGCTAAGATGTTTTACAGACTGTCCAGCCGAAAACCTATTTTACATATCGGCCACAAGTAGATTCTGTAGCAGTTTCAATGTAACTCATTAATTAAACTGGCATCTATAGAATTCTTCAAGGAAACAAATAGCAACGGTAAAAATCGAATGGAACTTGTAATGTTCGGCCAAAAACCGTAGTGTCAGAGTTGTAGGGGCATTGATTGAATGAATTGTATCCCGAGAGATCCGAAGCTCCCAGTTATACTCTAGAAAAAGAAGTCGAAGGCGAAAAATTGCACACCAGAGCTGTAGAATTCGTGACACTAACGAGATTTTACAACCAGCGGAAGCCGGCATTGCATATCGGGAAGTGGCTGTACAGACCAGTGTCTGGGGTTGTGAAATTGGGGGACTAGTTAATGGCATTGTGATCAGATTGTACTCCGCCTTTTACATGATGTCCGGTGCGTCTCCGTGGCAGCGAAATTCAAAGTTAACCAAAACTAATAGCTCGCTTAAGAACATACGTTTGCACTTACGCTTTTATCTCGATATTATATCTAACGAAATTGAAGCCGGGGGACAATGGTTAGTGAGCAAAAATTGGCACCCGGTCGAAGGCACCCTTCAGGTCAAAAACGCATGTGCGCTGTGAAAGAGAACTTTGTTAGTGGTAATTTGCCTTCGATCTGCATTTCGGACGCTTTCATCCGTTTCCTTTTTGCCTGTACCCACAAAAGGGTGTTTTTCCTTTTATTCGTAATATCACCACCACGTTTAAATCACAAATATCACATCATAACTTTTTTAATTTGCTTTTCTTTTCAATTTTAAAGCGGAAACTGTTGGCGACGGCGAGATACAACAAGGCAAGCGCACTGACGTGATTCCCTATGTGGAATTTTTTGCATTTCCATTTTGAAGTTGTTAGAGCACTACTATTCTTACCATAAGACACAATAGTTAATCTTTTTGGTGACGTCGTAACAATAGTCTGCTGTTTCTAACCGCAACGAGCTCCACTTCTCGTTACTGACTATGTTTTAGTAATTTTCATCCATATGCCCGATAAGTTCCGTTTCTACGTAACGCTTAGTTTGAGTGTACACTTGTAAGACGTTACCGTTTAAGGAAACCTCCACCTTCCGTTTGCCTTTTGATTTAGTATAAAAACATTTTCGTCGAAACTTTACTGAACGATTTGACTAACTCAACAGCTGCTTGTGATGCATCATCCAAAATTCTTCCGTGAATAGAAAAATAGTACCATTTTTTCGTTACTTAACAAACCTTAGTAGTTCTTCCAGTATAGAAGCGCTCCTAAAACTACTTGCTGCTCTTAGCAAGACACCCCGACCAACGCGCTGATCACTACAATTTAGTCAGTACTTCAGTAAGGAAGAGATCCGCCAGCTGCCAGGCAATCCGCGTCAATTGTACTAGCACACCGAGGCCATTTTTTGTCCAAAATGGGAAGCGTTTCGTACGCAGATGTTTTAAGACCAGCAGTTTCTACCATGGGTGTATTACAATAATAGACGTGGAAAACTAAAATTATTATATGGCGCAACTCTCGGAATTTCATAAAGACGAATAAGTGTTCACAAGCGCACGGACGTAATACCTGCTAAAATAGGCACACACTTCAGTGATCGCGGTTAATTTGCTTCCCAGACATGAGTTATAAACGCCCTCAGGTTCCCACAATCCGACATTCCTCTTAGTAATTTATTTTTAATTAGTTGGGGTGGGGCCGTCAGTTATGAACTGCTGAATAAATTTAGCCGATATTTGGTCTAGTTTTACCCGACTGGATTTGTGCGAGAATGTAATTTTCCGTTATAGGCTTAGACATTTTAAAACAGACTGACATACACATTGTTGCTTTTTAATTTCACCAGAAATTAATCGCTTACTCGGTGTAAATCAGCCTGAATTGAGCTTTATCTGTTCTTCTAAAATGCTGCTAAATCCATTGTTAATTAGGGAGGTAGTCTTTAATTTACGAATCAGTGTGAAAGTTCACCTTCCGGGCGTTTGCATGAGTAAAGAAAAGGGCTGACCAGGCGTTGGAACAGTCTTATTGTCCTGAGTTTTCAAACTTGTACAGGTGTTCACCGTCAGAAGTAATAATATCAACAAAAGGGGGCAATTATAGGGGCTTTTAACCAATTAACTGTCAGTGACGCACGGCTCTGTAGGCGGGCGCCAGGTCCATACATCGATTGATTAAGTTCCCATCCATGGACCAAACTTCAATCAGTTCTCAGCTCGTCTTGTTTCCGAACTGTACGAGTACCATGCTTTAATCTTAAAGGTCCATAGCATTATCCCCCCCCTGCAACAAATGACTGTGACAGAAATTGTTTCACTTGTACGATTGTTCACATCTTGCTTGGTAGGAATTATGACTTTGCTAGCCAGGTGTTGCACCGCTTGACACGAAGGCTGAAATTCGTGATCTTGTTGAGATTCGTGGGCATTTCTGGTTAAGGATTGTAGGAGGAGAAATTACAATTATTTCTCGCTTCCCCTTTCTAATCCACACCGGGTTTTAAGTGCCTTAGGGTCCTTTACATGTTAGTTCTTCCTCTCCCTTGTTTACCACTAATCTTGTTTATTTTCTTTCTGTTATCAGTGAAAAAGCGCGCTGTGGTACTCGAATTCACCCTTCCCAAGGCTGCATACGCGACCATGGCCATACGGGAGCTCATGAAGGATGTCACAGTAAAGTCATAGACTCCCTCACGTCGTGAATTTCGGCTACGCTTGTCCTCACCACGCATTGTGAACTTTTACCTGAATCATAAAGTTTTTTATCCCTGGCTGCTGGTGCGCCTCCATCCCCCTCAGTGTCAAGCAGTGTCTAACCTACCTTTAAATCGGTTCATTTTTAAAATCGCACACAAGAAATGCGGCTCAACGGGAGACCACTTGTTATTTTTGTGCAGGAGAGCTGCATCCGGCGGAGCGACCTCTGCGTTGACCGTCTTAGCACTCACGTGCCTCCGAAACTTTTACTACTGAAATTTCCAAATAAATATTTGGATTCAATTAAGATAACATTTTCCCGGGACGCGTTTGCAGGACTGCGATCCCTGAAGATTATTTATTGGGTGGAATTTATAATAATGTCTGATATAGCCAGCCTTGATGATGTATTGGATATTTTTATTAGGTTTCTTGGGAATTTCGAATACAGACTGGGTGCCAACGGTCACTCGGATTGTTTTTTCGAAGTCTTTTCCTCTAATGCTTCGGTCCAAGAACCCGTCCAGAAGCCAGCGGTGGCAAGCAAACTTTATTCACGGTCACCATGACGCAGGGCGGTCATCAGGGTTCGCATCACTTTATATGGCAGCCGGCGTGCCAGACCTCCACCCCCTGCGCTCTGGTAGCATTGTCGCTGCTGGTTCGCGACTACTTATTCGCCAGACCCGAGAACCTGCTTATTTCATAACTAAATCTCGCCTAAGGTCGTTCCACTATTGGACGCGTCGCATAGTCGGCAGCTAGGCTAGAGCAGGAAGAAAACACCTAAGTGCTAAAGTAGGCGGTCGGGACCGAAATACCTCCAAATATTGAACACTGAGTGCTAGTCCTAATGTTTAAAAAGTCCTCGCACGTCCATTTGAAGGCAACATCGAAAGTGTACCACGACAACAAGTCGCCCTGTAATGAGAGTTAACTGCTCACTTGAAATCGGATGGCGAGCTTCGCTTGTTGGATCCTTGTTGCTATCTTTACGTCACTCTGGTATCCTACGGAATAATAACGCGGACCGCATCCTTTTATTACGTATTCCCGGCTCAAATACACTCGCATTGCTCACTTCCCTTCCAGGTGTCTGATATCCTGGAAGAAAGTTTCGTATGGGTTTGGTTTTCTAGGTACTGTCAAATGGTACTGCAGTCCTTGCTTCGTCCACCCACGACTGCCCACACCCCTCTCACCCCACAAAATGCTGCGCAAACCAAAAATGGTGCCCACAGTTCCGGGGAAGCGCCCGGGTAAAGTCAACTTTGCATTAGCCGGAGGATGACACGATAGGGACAAAAGACAAGTTTCTGGCGAATGACTAGGCCCAAATCCGTTAATAGCCATTTGTTCACTGTCACGTGGTAGTGGTAACCGTCAGTCGCGGTAATCAAACCGAAGAAATGTTCGCTTCCTTAC